ATCTGGGTCCCTTGTCCGTACCAGGCTTCATTAATAGTGAATTCGAATCCATCGTATATGTGTATGATAATTATAAACTTAGAAATAATAAATTTGTTATATTGAGATATTAATATTTTTCAAAGTGATTTCTCAAAATCGTTCATTTGTGAACAGAATAGTGATATTTTTGTCAGTGTAAACACTTCCAATGTTGACGTTTACTTTTACAAAATTAATCTCTGAAGGAAATTTGTCCATTCGGTTGTCAGAGTGACACCCCCGCTTTGTGCAGACACTCCTGACTACTATTGAACCTTATGTAACACGGCTCGAGGTTACGTGTGTGAGATTTGTTTACCATGTGTTAATTGTATGTATCACCCTTTTTGTGTTGTTTGTTTATTGCGGGCTCTCGTGTGTATTGGTGCGTGATGTGGTGTGTGTATTGTATTTGTGAGCTGTGTATATTGTGTGTGTGTGTGTGTGCTGCGTGTATTGTATTTGTGAGCTGTGTATTTTGTGTGTGTGTGTGTGTGTGTGTGCTGCGTGTATTGTATTTGTGAGCTGTGTATTGTGTGTGTGTGTGTGTGTGCTGCGTGTATTGTATCTGTGAGCTGTGTGTATTGTGTGTGTGTGTGTGTGCTGCGTGTATTGTATCTGTGAGCTGTGTATATTGTGTGTGTGTGTGTGCTGCGTGTATTGTATGTGTGAGCTGTGTATTTTGTGTGTGTGTGTGTGTGTGTGTGTGTGTGTGTGTGTGTGTGTGTATGTGCGTGTGTGTGTGTGCTGCGTGTATTGTATTTGTGAGCTGTGTATTGTGTGTGTGTGTGTGTGTGCTGCGTGTATTGTATCTGTGAGCTGTGTGTATTGTGTGTGTGTGTGTGTGTGTGCTGCGTGTATTGTATTTGTGAGCTGTGTATTTTGTGTGTGTGTGTGTGTGTGTGTGTGTATGTGCGTGTGTGTGTGTGCTGCGTGTATTGTATTTGTGAGCTGTGTATTGTGTGTGTGTGTGTGTGCTGCGTGTATTGTATCTGTGAGCTGTGTGTATTGTGTGTGTGTGTGTGTGTGTGCTGCGTGTATTGTATCTGTGAGCTGTGTATATTGTGTGTGTGTGTGTGTGCTGCGTGTATTGTATTTGTGAGCTGTGTATTTTGTGTGTGTGTGTGTGTGTGTGTGTGTGTGTGTATGTGCGTGTGTGTGTGTGCTGCGTGTATTGTATTTGTGAGCTGTGTATTGTGTGTGTGTGTGTGTGCTGCGTGTATTGTATCTGTGAGCTGTGTGTATTGTGTGTGTGTGTGTGTGCTGCGTGTATTGTATTTGTGAGCTGTGTATTTTGTGTGTGTGTGTGTGTGTGTGTATGTGCGTGTGTGTGTGTGCTGCGTGTATTGTATTTGTGAGCTGTGTATTGTGTGTGTGTGTGTGTGTGCTGCGTGTATTGTATCTGTGAGCTGTGTGTATTGTGTGTGTGTGTGTGTGTGTGCTGCGTGTATTGTATCTGTGAGCTGTGTATATTGTGTGTGTGTGTGTGCTGCGTGTATTGTATTTGTGAGCTGTGTATTTTGTGTGTGTGTGTGTGTGTGTGTGTCTGTGCGTGTGTGTGTGTGCTGCGTGTATTGTATTTGTGAGCTGTGTATTGTGTGTGTGTGTGTGTGTGTGCTGCGTGTATTGTATCTGTGAGCTGTGTGTATTGTGTGTGTGTGTGTGTGTGTGCTGCGTGTATTGTATTTGTGAGCTGTGTATTTTGTGTGTGTGTGTGTGTGTGTGTGTGTGTATGTGCGTGTGTGTGTGTGTGCTGCGTGTATTGTATTTGTGAGCTGTGTATTGTGTGTGTGTGTGTGTGTGCTGCGTGTATTGTATCTGTGAGCTGTGTATTGTGTGTGTGTGTGTGTGTGCTGCGTGTATTGTATCTGTGAGCTGTGTGTATTGTGTGTGTTTTGCGTGTGCTGTGTATTTTGTGTGTTCTGTGTGTTTTGTGTATGTGTTGTGTGTATCTTGTGTATATTTTGTGTGTGCTGTGTATATTTAGTGTGTGCGCTGTGTATTCTGTGTGTGTGCTGTGTATAGTATGTATGCATGCTGTGTGTGCCGTGTATATTGTGTGTTCTGTATATATTGTGTGAGTGCCGTGTATATTTTGTGTTCTGTATATATTGTGTGAGTGCCGTGTATATTGTGTGTTCTGTATATATTGTGTGAGTGCTGTGTATATTGTGTGTGTGCTGCGCGTATTGTGCGTGTGCTGTGTATATTGTGTGTGCTGTACATATCGTTTGTGTGTGTGCTGTGTATATTGTGTGTATGCTGTGCATATTGTGTGTGTGCTGTGTAAAATGTGTGTGTGCTGTATTTGTGAGCTTTGTATATTGTGTGTGTTGTGTATACTGTGTGTGTGCTGTGTATATTGTGTGTTGTGTGTGTGTGGATGTTGTGTGTGTTGTGTATATTGTGTGTGCTGTGTGTGTGTGTGTGTGTTGTGTATATTGTGTGTGTGTTGTGTATATTGTGGGTGCTGTATATATTGTTTGTGTGATGTTTATTTACTGTGTGTCTGTGTTTGTGTGTGTGTGCTGCATATATTTTGTGTGTGCTATGTAAGTTGTTGGTGTGTTGTGTCTGTTGTGCGTATTGTGTGTGGATGCTGTGTATATTGTGTGTGTGTTGTGTGTATTGTTTTGTGTGTCTTTCAAATCGAGCTACCGTGTTATTGACGATTCCTTTCCATGTTGTCTTTGGTGGGAAATGCCCTTCAGTGAGATACGTTTCTATGAAATGGAAGAGCTTGTACTTCTCTGTAATGCCTAGCAGATTCTGTGTGTGTGCTATGTAGTATATTGTGTGTGTGCTGTGAATATTGTGTGTCTGAGTGTTGTGTGTGCTGTGTATAGTGAGTGTTGTGTGTATGCTGTGTGTATTCTGTGTGTGCTGTGTATATCATGTGTTTCTGTGTGTGTTGTGTGCGTGTGCTGTGTATATTTTGTGTGTGCTGTGTATATTGTGTATGTGCTGTCTATATATTGTGTGTACTGTGTATATTGTGTATGTGCTGTGTACATTGTGTGTGCTGTGTGTGTTGAGAGTGTGCTGTGTGTATTGTGTGTTTCTGTGTGTGCTATGTGTATTGTGTATGTGCTGTGTATATTGAGTGTGTGAGTGTTGTGTATATTGTGTATGTGCTGTGTGTGTTGTTTGCATGTTGTGTATATTGTATGTGTACTGTGTATATACTGTGTGTCATGTGTGTGTGCTGTGTATATGGTGTATGTGCTGTCTACATTGTGTGTGTACAGTGCATATTGTGTGCGTGCTGTGTATAGTGTGTGTGCTGTGTGCGTGTGCTCTGTGTGTGTGCTCTCTGTGTGTGCTGTGTGTATTGTGTATTGTGTTCGTGTGCTGTGCATATTGGGTGTTGCTGAGTGTGTTTTGTGTATTGTGTGTGTACTGTGTATATTGAGTGTGTTGTTTGTGCTGTGTGTATTGTGTGCATGCTGTGTGTATTGTGTGGGTACTGTGTATATTTCGTGTTTCTGTATGTGCTGAGTGTGTTATGTGTGTGTTGTGTAAATTGTGTGTGTGCTGTGTGTATTGTGTGTGTTTATTTTGTGTGTGCTGTGTATATTGTGTGTTTCCGAGTGTGTGAGCTGTGTATATTGTGTTTGTGAGTGTTGTGTATATTATGTGTGTGCGTTGTGTGTGAGCTGTGTGTATTATGTGTGTGCTTTGTAGATTGTGTCTGTGTGAGTGTTGCGTGTGCTGTGTATATTTAGTGTGTGTGTGCTGTGTATATTGTGTGTGTATGCTGTGTAAATGCTGTGTTGTGTGCGCTGTGTATTCTGTGTGTGCTGTGTACTGTGTGTGTGCATTCTGTGTTCCGTGTATATTGTGTGCTGTATATATTGTGTGTGTGCTGTGAATATTGTGTGTGCTGTACATATTGTTTGTGTGTGTGTTGTGTGTATCCTGTGCATATTGTGTGTGTGCTGTGTAACATGTGTGTGTACTGTATTTATGTCTGTGTATATTGTGTGTGTGCTGTGTATATTGTGTGTGTGCTGTGTATATTGTGTGTGTGCTGTGTATATTGTGTGTGTGCTGTGTATATTGTGTGTGTGCTGTATCTATTGTTTGTGTGCTGTTTATATTGTGTGTGTGTGAGTGTGTGTGCTGTATATATTGTGTGTGTGCTATGTATATTGTTGGTGTGGTGTGTCTTCTGTGTGTATTGAGTGTGGGTCTATATCATGTATGTGTTGTGTGTATTGTATTGTGTGTATTGTGAGTGTGTGCGTTGTGTATATTGTGTGTGTGTGTGGGGGGGGGGGCTGTGGATATTGTATGTGTATGCACTGTGTATATCGTGTGTGTGCTGTGAATCTTATGTGTATTTGCATCCGTGCGTTTCAGTCAAGGACACAAATTAGCCACACATATTTTCTCTTGGACCATAAAATTGCCTTTGGGCTCATAACTATCTTTGTACATTCATATTGATTCATATTTTATTTATGCACCAAAATTGTTTCCGGAAATGTCTTTGACTGGAGAAACTATCCAGGAACATGGTTAGATTTATTTTCTAACTAAAACAAACAATGACACGAATAACAAAACAAACACTGACTACACCGTGGGGTGCTCTACGTCTTGTCGATAGTATATAGCGGCGTGCACACAAATTTGAGAAAAGATATATTCGTGTAAACGTTTCTCCACTAAACCTATGACTATGTATGTAAACAAATGTTGACGTGGAGGTATGTTTACTACATTGGAACAATCATATATAGACAGATCACAATGGTCTTTCACTGTCCGTAAAGATATTTGTGATTCTGAGTAAATTTAGAAATAAATGTGACATTTATTTTGTCTTAGTCAGCAAAACGACGTTTCGATCGATTTCATTGTAAACGCAGAAGAAGGGACGTAACTGTGTACGTTTTACTGTCACTGACAGGTATTTAGATAGTTGTTCGGGAAATAGTGTCTCAGTGCCCGATGACGTCAGAGCGACCCAGCCAGTGACCCCGGCGACCGGGGATTGAAGTGCGTTTGTACACCAGTGGAGTTTTTCTTCCTGGGAATTTGCAGAGATCGTGCAATGGATTCATTAAATTTACCGATCACTTAACTGCATATTCGACTAATGAAATGTGAAGTTTACAGTTGCAATGCCTTGGAATATTGTTGGTTTTGAAGGCAGTGCGTGCCTGTAGGCTTGTTGTACTGGATCCAAGATGGCAGATCCAACGGGGATATTTCCCGTTAGTTTGGAGCAAAATAAACCCGAAGGTAAAGTTGCACGACCATATTACATGCAAAGGCACCCTATTTTGCCTAAATCAGTTTGTAAGCTTTCGTGGCTTTCAATTCTAAGAAATCTCATTCGATTATATATGTGACAATGAGAAACTACATCAAAATTTTCCATTTTCTTTAGTCAATGAGTAATTTACATCTGTCAAGTTTTAATTATTCACACTAGTGCTATGTTTTTTTTTAAATAGATTGCTTGTTTTTGTTTATGTATTTCTATTCATCACTCTCAGTGTGCTCACATTAAGCCCTGTGTTACTCCAGCTACAATGTGTGAGAGTTTGTAAGATATCTTCCATATGTTGATTTCAGAGGCTAAAAATATTCAGGTGAATGTACATTGCAATGATACGTTTTGAAATAGACTTGGTGTAATGATATTTACAAAAGTTTTCAGACACCAAAACAAAGATTCCATCTTCAGAAACTGGAGTTGAACCAACACTCTTTATTATTTTAAGAAGGGTGTCTTACATTTGTGGATTAAGTTTCAGCTTGCCTCTTCTGGGTCAGGCTTTATGTAGGTCAGAGCTAGCTTGCACCTAGCAAATATTATTTTCTCACTGATCACATACACTTGCAAGCATGATGGATAACCATTCGAAACTCGAAGTAAAGTGTGTTGTTGTTTGTGCAAGTTAAGCTTCTAAATTTCATTTTGAGCCTCAGAAAAATTGTATGACAGCTATATCTCAGAAGCATCACAGCGGTGTACCCATTGACATTATAAAAGGGGTCATGGACAAATTGTACATTCCTGTCTTTGCATGTTTTATCAATTCTTTTGTATTTGGTGAATTTTTTGCAGTATTTTTCATTCAATTGAATGTGCAAAGCTGTGCTGATAATGTGTTAGGGAATAATGTTAATGAATAATATTATCTCCCCTGATGAGAGGTCAAGAGGTTAATGTGAAAGTATGTAAACAAACTGACAACATGGACGAGACTTGGGTTATGAAAAACTCTGGGCTATTGTTAGGGTATATAAAAGAGTTACCTCAGAAATTCAACAAATTCCATCAGTGAGTCATTCAGAAAGTTTATCTTTTGAGTATCTTTGCAGTGATTTGAGGATTATTTCTTTGTGCACAGGATTATTGCTTAGAACAGCTGATATAATATTAAGGTGACACAAGTATAATGCTATATAGTCTGTTAAACTGAGTATTATTTATCATTGGGTGTCAACTTTTCATGTTTCATGGACTGAAAATCAGATGTAAAGATATTTGATAATTTGTATTGTTTTCACATTCCAAAAACATGAAGAATAATTGCCTTGTTGATATAAATTACTGGCATCCTATTTATTTAAAGTTTCCTCAGCATTGCTTCGCAACATATTTGCGAAGACATGATCCTTTTTATGCTGTTGTTAAAATGCAGATGTTAAAGAAAGTGTTTGTTGTGTATTCACTTTGTTGCCATGGTTACCTAAGGGAAGTATAATGTTTTCATATTTTGATATTTTCTGTATTGGTAATAACTGAAACCTTTTTTCCACTTTGGAGATGCACTAATCCTTCAGGCTAAATAAAAGTTTTGTGTTTAAAGTAACCATTGTTTCAAATGCTACCCAAATGTTTTAATCACAGCTGGAAGCAGCCATAAAGAAACCCATATATTATTTTCAGAAACAAATTAGTTATTTCCGCATATATAATTGTATGTTTTTTATGTACGAGTGAGAGAAACATTGCAACAGCAACCTACCTTCTGACCCATACCCTGTTTGTCCGTGTTAAGCTTGCTAAGAGAGCATCCATTTAATTTGATGGGGAGGGATTTGTTTTCAGACATCTATTTCTTTCTTAGCTGTATTCAACAAACATCTGTAGATCCTGTCTGTCAGCTGTCTATCAAGCCAGACTAGTCAAGCTGTCACTAGTCTGAAGTCAGCCATCAGTCAGACTGTTTTGTAGGGCGGTGGGGTAGCCTAGTGGTTAAAGCGTTTGCTTGTCATGCAGGCCCGTGTTCGATTCCCTACATAGGTTCAATATGTGAAGCCCATTTATGGTGTTTCCCGTCATGATATTACTGGAATATTGTTAAAAGCAGTTTAAAACCATACTCACTCACTCAAATTGTTATGTAAAGTCAATCTGTTATCAGATTATGAACTGTATGTTAAGCTGACTTAAGGCTAAAAGTAAAATCAGGGGTGGAAATTGGCCCTTTCAATAGACCTATTTTTTTTCAATTTGTTTTATGTTATTTACGTGGTAATGGTATATGAATTATTCATGTGTTCCAACATTTTTCTGTGGAAATCTGAAAATCACTTTGTTTTAAATTCAGCGAAGGGTAATCTGCAACTAAAGCCATTAGCAGCTGATTAGTCTGAAGCCAGTGTCTTGTATCTTCATATTTTTCATTCTATATGTTAAACTGTGAGACTGACTTCATCATAAACATTTTACACATGGCAACATATTCAAATAGCCTCTTGAAGAACTAAACTAAAAATCTGAAATAATTTTTTCTCACGAACCAACCTTGATTTTTGACAAAATAATCTGTTATCCAAGAAAAAACAATGTGCAAAGGTTGCTGAGCAAGTCCTGGTACACAAATTATTACATAGTCTCATGTTATCACCACCATAACATTATTATATAATCACCATATCCATGACAGTACATCATAACTCAGCTTTATTACCTTATCATTGGAGTCAGTAGAATGATCCTGATATAAATCAAGGTATGGGTTTCATATGATATTAACAATACAGTCCTTTGAATAATGAGGTTTGTATTGATTAATCGTAATTTTCTCAGAATGGAGACAGCATAGAATTGCTGGTTACATGTTTGCTGTAGTTTGTGTGAAATGCACACCTGCGTGGATACACTGCTATTTTCTGATCATATTGTTAATGATTCTTGTTCTTTGTTTACTCAATGTAAGCGTACTAAGACAGATGGGGAGTTAATATACTAGCCTGACAACTATTTACCACTACCCAACTAGAGCCTGTGGGCATGTTTAGGTATTTCACAAGGTCCATTAATACTAAAACAAGTCTGTGACTTGAGTCTAGTCCAAGGTTAGCTAATAGTCCATATACCGTATTCGACGTAATAAGTGCCCAGGGAGCTCTCAAAATTAGAAATATGGGGGCTCTTATTAGAATATTATTTTGGTGGAAAAAAACAGAGTTGAAAGATAAATTTCGTGGTTTATGCTGACAGCCTGAAATGTTAATATACGAAAGATATATTTTTCCATAATTTAATTGCCCATAATTAAGGGTGCATATAACACACGAGTGCGTATTATACGCGAATAAAAAAGTCTTGTGTACATTGATCAATCGGAAGGGGTGCTAATTGGGATTGTTCACTAGCCAATATATTAGCAAATATCGCTGTGGGCGCTTATTACGTCGAATACAGTAATAACACTAAATTCTACTGAAAGTGATGCAAGGAGCCATATTCGGGTTAGTAGACTCAAATGTTTTTTGCACAGACTGCAAAACCAGTGGCCAGTTACTTGTGTTGAGATGATATGCGTCAGTTGGGTGGATCGATGCTCATAACGTCAATCAGTGGAATGTCTGGTCCAGAATCGATTATTTACAGAACGCTGTCATTTAGCTGGAATACTGCTGAGTGTGGCGTTAAACCACAGACAAACATTATGTGTAGAATAAACATGTGTATTGCAATGTGAAGCATGAAATTACCAGTGCATCTATTTGAGCAAAACAACCAACTCATTATGATGAGGATGATGAAAACATGCCGATACTAATCTCCATTCTATTATCATAAATACCCTGGGCTCATTTGCAACAATTATTTTAGCCTTGTTCAAATGACACCATGCTGTAGCTGTCCAGTCGAATTACGCTCATGAATGACAGGAATTCTGTGCTTGGCTAATGACGATGGAGATGTCCAGGGTTCGAAATTAACATGAGTCTGTGCCTCAGAGACTAGTAAAATTCAGGAAAGACTAGTGACATTTTCTTGTGGACTACCAGTTTTACCTTAAAGTAGATGGTGTCTCTGAAGCAGGTCAGGTTTTTTAGTGAAAATAAAAAGTTCATTTCCTGACCCTGGACAATGTCACTTCTGAATGCATCTTTGAGGACTATTGCGTTTTGGGTATTAGAAATGTTCAATCCGTGGCTCCCTGAATCGGAAAGTGTTACAAGTAATGTAGGAAAATTCCTTGAATATCATACTGCATTTCAAGCACTGCTTTATGTAAGTATCTGGGTTAGAATAGGTCCCAATACCTCATGCTTGATGTCAATACATGTACCTGGGTTAGAATAGGCTCCAACATGTCCAATACCTCATGCTTGATGTCAATACATGTACCTGGGTTAGAATAGGTCCCAATACCTCATGCTTGATGTCAATACATGTACCTGGGTTAGAATAGGCTCCAATACCTCATGCTTGATGTCAATACATGTACCTGGGTTAGAATAGGTCCCAATACCTCATGCTTGATGTCAATACATGTACCTGGGTTAGAATAGGTCCCAATACCTCATGCTTGATGTCAATATACGTACCTGGGTTAGAATAGGTCCCAATACCCCATGCTTGATGTCAATACATGTACCTGGGTTAGAATAGGTGCCAATACCCCATGCTTGATGTCAGTACATGTACCTGGTTTAGAATAGGTCCCAATACCTCATGCTTGATGTCAATACATGTACCTGGGTTAGAATAGGTCCCTAGTACCTCATGCTTGATGCTAATACATGTACCTGGTTTAGAATAGGTCCCAATACCTCATGCTTGATGCCAATACATGTACCTGGGTTAGAATAGGTCCCTAGTACCTCATGCTTGATGTCAATACATGTACCTGGGTTAGAATAGGTTCCAATACCTCATGCTTGATGTCAATACATGTACCTGGGTTAGAATAGGTCCCTAGTACCTCATGCTTGATGTCAATATACGTACCTGGGTTAGAATAGGTCCCAATACCTCATGCTTGATC